AAAAAGAGGAGAGGAAACGGAGGGCTGTTGGTAGCCAGCTTGTTGCTGTTGATTGCCAGAGCCGCCACTTTGGAGCCGGGCAAACAGCTCCTGCAGGTCCGACATGGTGAAGGAGACTAGGGCAGATCTGCTCGACTGTCAGCAAAAGCGGTAAAGGCACAGTCACAGCTACTGTTGATGCTATGCTGACGACACGGCCAACCTACTTTACTCAAGACCCAAAATTCGCGTGCGTGGCCGAAGCCCAGGTCACTTGAATCGCGCAAAGCCGAACCGGTATCGCAGTACTTTTGAACAAGACAAGAGCTGGCGAGCAGACGAGAAAATGAAAATGACGGGCTGCGATGAAGCGCAGATGTCAATTGACGTGCAAGTGAAAGGGTGGTTGACAAGCTCAAGGTGAGTTGGTTGGCGCCGGCACTCAGGCTAGGCTAGCGCAGCTTGGGCGCCGCGGGTGGATCGCGGTGACACTTCACCACATCATCACAGCGAGTCGCATGTCTTTTAATCGCGCGCATCATCTTATCTTGCGCCTGTGATTAATGCGTACATCGCATGATTACCTGCTGCTCTCCCTTGCATTGGCCATTGATATTCTCCACATTGACTCATGAGAGCGGCTAATGAGCTGAAGCGCCAGCTCACAAGAACATGTACCTTCATTTGAGACGGACGACATTCATTTGTTACAACAATGATATTATACACAATTTGAAGAAGAAGAATAAAACAATCCGTCGCCCTTGATCACCATCCAAGTAGCAGCGCCTGACTCATCGACACCATCTCTACACATCAACCACACACTCTTTACCAGCAGGTACCAAACTTGCTCTGGCATCCCAGCATCTTCATGCAGGAGGTGATGCCGTAGCCGCATCGTCCACTCTTGCTGCAGCAGTTGCCGAAAATGTAGTTCTTGCAAGTAAAGCCCGTGCTTCCACCGCACCGTCCGTTGGTTGACTTCTTCAGAGGAGCTGCAGATGTAGGTGTCGGGACAGCGGATGTTCGTGTGCTGGTAGTGCTGGTAGTGCTGGCACGAGTGGATGTAGTGGCTGGGCGGGTAGACGTGGTCAGGCTGCGCGTCGAGGTGGACACGACCGGGCTGCCCGACGAGGTGATCGGAGGCACAGCGGGACCTGTGGCAGATTCCAATGTGCATTTACCGAGGAGAGGGTTACAACCAGTTCCGCAGTGGTCAGTACTGGCGCCACACCAGCCGTATCTTGTCGGGGTTAGCTGGATAGTTTGAGAAAGTAAGCAGTGGAGGTCAACTTACTGCGAGCAGCATTCACCCTCAAAGTAGCCAATGCAAGAGTAGCCATTAGCCCCACCACATGAGCCGTCGGTAGACATGACGCCATTGGGAAGTGCACTGGGCATCACACTGGGGGCAGCGGGACTCGAGGTAGATCGAGCAGACGCCGATTGGGATGCGCCGGTGCTTGCAGAAGGAGCAGCACTTGATGAAGAAATGCCGCACTTGCCGAAACCGCTCTGGCAACCGGTTCCGCAGTGGCCTTCGGTGTTTCCGCAAAAGCCGTACTGAGAGCAGCATTCACCCTGAGCAAACCCTATCAGTTCGGTTAACCAATGACATACTCAACCATCTTGTCAAGTCTTACCGAGACAGGTGAAGCCAGCAGCAGTGCCACAGGTGCTGTCAGGAGATACTCCAGTAGGAGTAGCGACAGCGCCGCTGGATGTGGCACTTGATGCACCAGCAGAAGTGGCGGTTCCAGAAAGCGGCGTAAAGGCAGATGAGGAAGCAGGTCTGTCGGTAGGAGTGCGGTACCAGTTCGCCTCTGGCTCGCCCATGCATTCGCCCAACGTGACCAGCTTGTATCCCTTCTTGGTCATCACTTCAAGCATGTGACCTGTGAGGTTCTGCGCTGTCTGCTGATGGATATCGTGGGCAATAGCATGGAAGTTGTCTTCAGCAGCGTTGCTAGGGTTGATAGCGGCGTCAACCCTGTTCTTAGCGTTTTGGATCAGATCAGGTGTTATGTTGTTGTAATCTGGACGCTGTTAGCAAGTGTGATGCGGGCAAGGAAAACATGGACCGGCTGACCATCAGTACTAGGTCACAAGTTAGCATGGGTCTTGAATGAGTGTGTGGAAAGATACTTACTCAAGATCAAAGTAGGAGACTACGTATCCCAAATCGGCTAGATCCTGTTGGCATCCCGATGCAGGGGTGCAAGAGGAGTAGGGTGGGCGCATGTACGTGGGAAATTTACCCATGATGTTAGTCAGGGCCATCTAGAGTGAAAAAGCAATGTTAGCGAAAGTCTTCTATGCGTCATCTAGAAGCACCACTCACTTCGTTCCTGACCATCTGGTCGTATCGCTGCTCCTTGGTGATGATACTAAGATCTTGATGCGACCAAGTGTGGCTAGCGACTTGATGTCCTTCAGCAACCATGCGAGAGATGATCCTAGACCAGCCCTTGCTCTCGTCATCGATGGCACCTTTGTTGATGTTGATACCGGTGACGAAGAAAGTGGCTTTAGCACCGTATGATTTGAACTGATCCAACACGTCGTTGGTGTAGATGTAAGGGCCGTCATCATAGGTAATTGCGATTGTGCCAGGGGTGACACAATCGTAGATGCCCTCTCCACCGTAAACCTGGTTGCCGAGCTTGGTACGGGGGGTGTTGCGGGTGCTACCTCCAGAAGGAACCTGGTTGGCATCACAAGCAGGGCCGTATTGGAATTGACAGTCTGGTGCTATGCAGTAGTCGGCTGATCAGGAGAATGGAGTTAGCATATTACTCACATCCATTGGATGATTGGAACCTTACGTCCTTGACCACAATAACCTGCCGTGGAGCAGCAGTAGCCTTCAGCACAGGTTGCGCCGTTGGCAACGGGTCCACATCGTCCATCTGCGCCGCCTTGACGTTTGTTCAAATGCTGCTCAGGGGCACCGTCAATATTGCGACCGTTGAGGATGTTTCTGCTCCTCAATCTACCAAGGTCCTTGGACCCTGCTCCAACGATCTTAGGAACATGGCCACCAGCATGAGCAGCCACGAGTGGCGCAACAAGCAGGGCTGCGGAGAGTTCGGCGAAGCGCATTATTCTGATTAGTTAAGACCAATTGACCCTGAAATATTTCGATAGTATGCGATGCTGAATACAAGCGAGTGTATGAAGGTATGTGATCGACCAATATTATGTGCGATGAAAGTAAGAGGATGTTTAAACGAGTGACTGGACCCTTCGAACGGGTAGGTTGGGGAAGAGTGACCAAGAAGCAAAGACGACGCAGGTCCCAGCACCCGGGATATATACCTACTCACGCACAGCCTGGATACCATTGGCGTGCCCAGATATTGGAAAAGGAACGATTTCGACGCCTGTCCAGCGTGTGGCGGGCTTGGCTATGGACAGCCGAGCCGCAGCGCGTGTCAGATCTTGCGATGGCTGATGCAGGAGGTAACCGACGTTGAGCCCAACTCACGTAGTCAGTCAATAGGTCCCATTGTTCTAGCGAATTGTCAGATCATGTTAGCCGGCCGTCCCCCGTCACGAAGCATGCAAAGAATTCATGGTGCTTTTTGCGGATGGAATAGGAGATTCCCTCCTCGGGCCATTCTGTAGAAGATTACATACTTGGGAACGCTGACAGCGATGCAGCGCAGATTAACCGTACATCGAAAACGTAGGGGCTGTGGCTGCCCTTGCCAAGAACTACCCCTGGTATCGTCTCCGGATCGGGATGCAGATCTCGTTAGCGCCCGCGGTTCGCGTAAAAAAAGATCCATGATTCCATCTCTGGAGTTCTCGGGTTGGCCCAGGCCAGAACCCCTACTCCAGATTTCTGGGCAGGCGTGCACACTCAAGCTCATCTGCTTGTGGGCATGCGATTGCCTCGTCTCCTAAAATCAGCAGCTTCTTTCTTGCTGCAACGGTATCGACTTCACTTTGGTATATGAGCATCACTGCGATTGCCTATTGGTATCATCATTGAGGCGAGTAAGCGCATTCTTGCTCAGGGCTACAACAGGGCCGAGGAAGAGTTCACCTCCGCCGTTTCGAGTGACGACAGGGGTGCCCAGCCGACATGGTTCGCCGGCGTATCCAGGGACTGCAATACGGGCTGCGATGGCTTCTTACCCTACAAACTACTGCGACGCGACGGTGTCTAGAAGTGGCAAATGCATGTTTCAATGTGAGTTCAACTGTGGAAGAGATTGGGCGTGCCCATGACTGCAGTTGGTATATGACGACGCCGGTAGCATGGCGCGACAGGGCGATGCCTGGGCAGCCCTTGGCCGCTACCTTTTACCCTAGTCGATGAGTGATCGGACGTTTTTTTCGTACTGGATGCTTGCCATTGCCCACTCTTCGAATCTCCGGGGCTTCCGCGTCAACCTGTGTTGTTCGGATAACTCAAAGAATGCGCTTGCAAACAGAGTTGCGGAGAGCACCGTCGCACGCAGCTGATCGCACGGTGCCGCTGTACGGAAGAGGTCTACACAACTGCCAATGAAGGTCGAAGTATTCCGAGGCTGTATGGCACCCGCTGTGGTCGTCTCATTCTCTTTACCAGACGGTCCATCCAGTATGGAACGCTCGAGCCATCTTTGATTCGTTGTAACTGCACTTTGTCAGCGACTTTGGCGGACCGACTGCGGTCTGGGTCTTCTTGTTGAGTGCCCAGGTGTGGGGAACGAAGACAATTGCAATAACATCGGGTGAGCTTGGGAGCAAGAAACTTGCCCAAACTTCAAATCGAATACAAACATTTCTAGCAGCAGCGCATCGCAATGCAAGCCTAAGCCTGCCGCTGTATGTCCTGTTACAATTGTCGTAGAAAGGTTTTGGTCTGGTTGTAGGCCTTTCAAGGGATGCGTCCCCAACGGATGGGCTTGGCGCGCTGAGGTCCGATTTCTGCATATAGTCACGTGGTTCGCCAGGGCAAAAAAAATTCCTCCAGCCTCACCACCACCCCTGAGGACCACGACACAGCCTGCGCAACGGCAAAAATATGGACTTGCAGGGAATCGAACCCTGGACCACTCCCAAGCTAGATGATGCGTTGTTTGAAGGACGCTGATCATCAGATGCTAAGGGAGTATTATACCACTAAACCACAAGCCCGATTTTCAAGCTTGTTGTTGCTTGATTTGATGGAATACTGGGAAATTGGTGGGAATATGAAATCAGTAAAATTTTCGGTACCAACGCAGGATTGGAACCTTCGGCAGGAAGTGGGTCGGGTGCGGTGGAGACGTGCATCCAGACTTGGGAATCGATCTCGAGGCTATGGATACCCCTTACAGACCTGCTTCATGAATATTAGCCTTCTGCCTTCGTGGTCAGAGTCGTCGTCGCGGTCGGCAGAGCTCTCGTGTACTCATGCTATTCATCTAGCTTCTTTTTGATCTCTTCAACCTCCGCGTCGACTGCATGTTGACGGACGTGTTCATGGCCTCGATTTTATGCTCGTGGGATAGCAGGCGACCGCCGGAGGGGTATGAAATGGCTTTACTATCGCCATGTAAATGTGAGTAAAAATAAGGCTTCGGGTTCCAAAACACTCAGCCCGTCACCAGTACGCCGGGGCACGTTCTATGCACCGCTTCGTCCTTCTCCCCAGCCCCTTTGACTCCTTCTCCTTGGGAGTTAGGGGAATAGCGAGCGCGAAAACAATGTCAAGGCGGGAATCGAGGCTGGGCCGTTATCTAGGATAGCGATCCACCGACTGTCTGTCTCCTGCGCCTTCGCCTGCTTCGCCTGCTTCACTGTTCCTCTCGCTTTCTCGATATCCTCTTTCTTCTTCGCTCGCTTCTCTTCTGGGTTTCGAGCTGGCATCCGCTTCGCCTGCGGCTTCTCGATTTGAGACTGCAGTGATCTAAAGAGGGTTTCGAATCGCTCCCGATCGCCTTGCCGCTTGGCTAGTTGCTGCATATTGGATGGTCCTGGTAATTTATTAAGGTTACCTTTGGCTTTTCGGTTGGAGACGGTTACCTTTGGGTGTGTATGCATATGTGACGGTAGCGAGTGGGTGTGAGTGAAAGCTCTCCATGTTGGGAACAAGCTTCCCTGTGTCGCTAGTGCAAGGGGAAGGAACGATGTGAGGAAGGAACAACAGCTTGAATGAGCCCTTCTAAACATGCCATGTCAGTAAAGAACTAACATGCTGGTGCTTGGGCTATCGCAGCAACCTGACTAATTTCCTCCAAGGCTACTACTCTTCTCACTGTTTTCGCTCTCTCCTTTTTAGCTACTCACCTTTCAGACCCCTCTCACACGCTCCTTGCTATCCTGACCTTCACTGTAGCACCAAAATCTTTTCTCCTTAATCATCTTGGCTATCGGAGGCGTTTTCCCTCTGTTCGCAGGAATCTGCAAGATTGGCAAATGTGAACGACGCGACTCTAGTTACGAAAAGCACAACAAAGTCTAATTATACGAAAGGCTCGGCAACACTACACGATAATACCATGGCGATGCTAGATAACGCGATGCAAACGCTATAATATAGTCATAGTGTTTCGACCGCTCTTGTCATACTGCACTCAAGCATTTGTAGTTTGAGGTCAGTGTTATCCACAAGGGCTCCGCCAATACTTCTTCACGAGATATTCAAAGTGGTCGATTTCGCCTCTTATGCTCCGGAATATATAGAGTTGAATAGCACCCGTAGCATACCAAGATGTTGCAGACGATATAGGATCACGCTGCCGGGTGCAGCGAGTTCTTTAGTGAGCATGCTATCTTCCATTCAATCGAAGTAATGCTCTTACTCAGGCCGTTGAAAGATGACCCCGAACAAACTCACTGCGGTCGCATGTGGAGTATCACTACAGCATTTCCACCAGCCCTTCCATTAATGATGCCAAGGTCCTCATTGCGAGATCCTCATCCATGTTCATGCATCAACGTTGTTGCCCTGTGAAGGCTCAAAAGGCGCTAGTAGGTGGGGCGAGTGCATTCTAGAACTTCAAAGGTCCAACCGAGAATGCACCTCCCAAACCCAGAGCGAGTTTGACAGCCGAACAGTCCGTTCATTAACCTTAGAAGGCGAATGTAGGAAGAAGGTGCAAAAAGGCGCCAAGGCAATTGCGCCAACAACACTGCTCATTGCTCTCCCTAACATATTCGACCCACTCAGCCCTGCTAAACGGCGAGAATATTATTCACATGTCATGCCACCACGTGTGCGATCGTTCGGTTACGCGATCTATCCACGCCCGGTTAGCTGCATGTGTAGGCAGAGATCTGCACGAGGCCTGTCAAGCGATGCTACCCTCTCCAATGACGTTGAACCCTTCGCAGAGAACACCCCCAATCACACATGGATCCAACCATCACCACACCGTACCGCGGACCGAGGGACAGTTCTTCCGGACCCCTACCGCACGCAAACCATAGTCAAAATGTCCCTCATTCTAGCAAACACCTCGACCCACACATTGGGAAGGAAGCAACGGTGAAGCTAGACCAAATTTCGCTTAGACTAGCGCAAACACAACCCGTGGGCAGATATTTTCAAATCGTTTCGGTGCCCCTCGTTCCCTCCTACAACGATCCCAACCCCTCAGCTTCCGAATTAATCAATTGGCGGCAGTACGACTTGTGCGACTCTTTGAATCATATTTTAGAAGGTACTATCTTCTAACGTCACTCCCTTACTTTTACGACACTTCAGTAAGAGCGATCCCGCGTGGCGCTGCCTCTATAGAAACAACCTCTGACAATCTTCAGGTCTCTTCCTAAAAACCCATCAAAATGGACTACCAAGCACCTGTTGCTGGCGCCGGTGGCCGTGGCTGCTACAACTGTAAGTTGAATACCACAGCCCCCACTGCGACCCCGGACATGCTTCGCATACCAGGTTGCGAGAGTCAAGACCTCTTGCATTGTCTGTGAGAGATGACGAGTCAGTTCGCGTCAACCACCTGGACAGTCGCTGCTTGCCTCACCCATCGGGCTCTAGCTTGATCCATACGCTGTGTACTCATTTGCTAACAATATCCAGGCGGAGACGCATCTCACCGCGCTGCCGAGTGCCCCACCAAGGGTACCCCTACCTGCTACAACTGCGGCGAGAAGGGCCACGTTAGCCGTGAATGCACCTCTCCCCAGGCTGAGAAGACCTGCTACCGCTGCGGTGGTACCGGCCACATCTCCCGCGAGTGCACCAAGGACGGTGGCGCACCCATGGGCGGCCGTGGTGGCGGCAGCCAGGAGTGCTACAAGTGCGGCCAGGTCGGTCACATCGCCCGCAACTGCTCCCAGGGAGGCGGATACGGTGGTGGTGCCGGTGGATACGGAGGTCGCGGTGGCTACGGCGGTGGTGCCGGTGGCTACAGTGGTGCTCGCCAGACCACCTGCTACTCGTGCGGTGGTTTCGGCCATATGAGCCGTGACTGCACCCAGGGCCAGAAGTGCTACAACTGTAAGTGTCAGCTTGGGGATATACGCGGACCATGCTAACGTTGACCAGGCGGCGAGGTCGGTCATCTGTCCCGTGACTGCCCCCAGGAGACATCTTCCGAGCGTGTCTGCTACCGCTGCAAGCAGCCTGGCCACGTCCAGAGCGCCTGCCCCAACTAAGGTGGTTCTGGATTCCGTCGATGTTTTGATCTGGAAGGAGTTTCGATACTTCCGTCCGCTCTCATGTACGCATGACTGCGAGTCGGCTTTCCGATACTAGAGATTGCGCCCACGATGTGACGAATCATCGACATGATTATGATTTCTTTTCTTGTACATTTTCATTCTGCGGCTTGCTGCCGTTTTTCGACGCTTCACGAAAAGCATATCGTCGCCCGGGCATGATTGGACGGCCTTTTCCAGAGTTGGCTGTACTGTCAAGAGAGTTGGTTATCGGAAAAGTCTTGATCCAGGAAGAGCGTTTGGTGGGAGATACACTGTGCAGGTGGATAGGAGAGCGGATCCTTACGCGAGCAATGAATGGAGCAGTGCGTGGTCTGCACGTTGACTGTGGCTGTAGGAGAGCGAGGTCTCTTTTGGCGGATGGCTGGTCTGTCGGGTGCGAGTAAGCAGCCGGTGGCTCTGACTGAGGTTGAATAAAGAAACCAGAAAAGTCCCCACGATTGGATGGGCTCCTCAACTTATACCGTGCCATTTTCATGCACCGTGATGGACGTACGCTAAGCTAGATTAGACCTGAGTGTGGGATGGTTGACATGTAGTACTCAGGTGGTGTGCATGGGGCGAACAATGGCCAGCAAACTTGGCAGGTTATGGAGTGCTATGTGCTGCGGGTGCATATGGACGGCACATTGTACATGCAGTTTTTGAGATGTGTAGGACCTGGAGTACACACGGTGCCGTGACGTCTGAGCTATGCGATGCCGCTGGTGGAATCGAAGGTCGCCAAGCCAAGTTGCGCCCGCGTTCGTTTACATCCCGCTCAAACCCTAAACAACATACAACCAGCGGCCTGCACGACTGAACCCACCACCAACGACGCGTCAATCGCACCAATACGCGCGCCCACGTTTCTTGACTGTATTCAGCCGCCATGGCGCCCGTACGGAAGCGCGAGAATCGCGAAAACAATTATTACAACGTTGGTGTTCAGGGAAGGTACGCATAGGCGCTTTGGAACCAGGCGCGCAGACACTAATTTTGCGCAGAAAGACTGGCATCACACTCGACGACAAAGGTGTATATGACGAACATGGCCTCGAGCCTATATCCGGCATCTTCTCGTCGCCGGAGAAGTCCCCACCTAAGCGCGGTGAGAACGCGACAGGATCAGAGTCGATGGAACTTCAAGAAAGTGTGTCTGATATGAGGCGCTCACCTAGCGCAAAATCAACAACGCAGGGAATCCATTCTGACAATCTCGACAGGCTCCATTCCAGAATTTGCGCCGTCGCATCAACTCTTGCGCAACAGCCGGACGAACCTGCCTCCGCCCCGATCGCGCTCACCCAAAAAGACCACGCTCGGCTCCTCGCCGCGACGACAATCATCCATGGTGCCGAGGGGAAGCTCCGCTGCTCCTTCTAGTCCTGTGCGCGCTTCGTCGCATCCAATTGCTCGACGGCTCGATTTCGAACAAGATGAATCCAGTTTGCAAGAAACCCCGGCGCTGAGTGGATCAGGCGCGCGGCGTGGAAA